CTTGTTCTGAAGTCGAGTCATGGGGCCAGCAGCTTGAGCAGGGAGGCCCAGACACAAACCTGCAAACTAGTCGCTTTACTAAACTATAATAACTAAAATTTGTAATTTACGTGAATCGTCAAGATCCGAAGAAGTTTTTTTTTGTGGGGGGGGGGTAGGTGGATGGCATCATTTCTCTTTATTATCGCTGAACGCTATGTGAAGGAATAACGTACCTTGGGTCCAGCGTATTAAAAATAAACTTAAACCCTTGGACTGAGTTGTCTGGTTGTAAATCTTTGTGATATAGCAGACGATGTAGTGGGAAATCTTCAAAGCCCTTGGGGAATTATAAGTTTGTTGCTCCAGAGCTCGCTGCTGTGCTGCTTTTGCTTTTCATCTTCCTTTTTCACATTTGTTGTCTTTCCAAAATACTGTCTAGGGGTGGGCGATATGGCTCTAATATAATATTGTGATATTTCAGAGCATTCTGACGATAACGATACATTTTGTGATATAACAAAAACAAACAAATCATAGTTATTGACAAAGGTAACTTAACATGTTGCTTTGCAGTATTGTATAAAAACTAAATAAAAAACATGGGTTAATTTTACTGCCGTTACTTTATATAATGAAGTATTCAGTCATAATAAAACATATACTTCTGCTATTTAGATTGGAAAAAGTTTGCTCAAAATCCACCACAAAAACTGAAGTGCATGTGCAGTTCCCCAAAAAACTAAATAAAAGGAACGCATAAGATCTGTTAAGCATAAATGTAACATACAACTAAAAATGTGTTGTCTTTAAATGAGCTATAACGTCCAAAACTTGTGACAAGGTGTCTTCAGCTGACCCTGAAGCTTGTGGTGTTTCAGCTTTCTCTACTCCTGCAGGAATGATTCAGTTTCTCTGACTGCTCTGTCTTTGATTACCTGCCTCTTTTCTTGGTCCATGTACCGACTGGGGAACCGTGGGTCAAGAGACACAGCTGAGATGCACGTTGTTTGTATCGGTAGTTGTGTGTGTGTGTGTGTGTGTGTGGGGGGGGTGATGCATTAATTTTTCACCAAGATCTTGCATTGATGACTAGGCATGATGGGTGCATCACTTCACCTGCCTCTCTTCTTACCTTGATGCTCCCATCACTCTGGAACTTCAGGGTTATTTGACACTTTCCTGTCCGTTCTGTGAGTTTAATAGACAGATAGTTACTTCTTACCTTGCGTTGCAAACTATTTCAGCCACTCGGTTTCTTTGCTGGATACTTCGCTGCTCGGTGAAAAGCTACGGCTGGAACAGTTGACTTCTGGGGAATGTAGTTCTTTTGACTTGTGTTAAAGTGAAGGCTTACTGAAAGAAAACTACAAAATAGCTGCGCCGTTTTTTTGTTTGGTTTCATCTTCAATTTTGGTTATTGGTCGGTTCCCGCTCCTGTCTGCTCCCGTTAGCTTTCAGTCCAGTCACGTCCCGGTCACGTGAGTTATGACGAGGTTGACTCCGGTCCCGCCGGAATCCTGTCGGAATCACGTGATCCGCGGTACTCACGAAAAAATGTCATCCTCTACTTTCCAGCTATGACAAAAACGAAACCATTCTTTACCATTATTTATTTTTATTGTTTTGTTGTCTTCATAAAAGTAGTTAACTGACTATGATGGATATGAAACTATTGTATGAATCCAAGCTTTTTCTTTCTTTACACATTCAGGGTTTTGATGAGTACATGAACCTGGTTCTAGATGATTCTGAAGAAATCCACATGAAGACTAAGAGCCGAAAACCACTCGGTAAGAGCACTGTTTGTGATAATACTCGTTTAGTGTTGACTTGTACGGTTAGCAAGTTGATCTAAACAACCTCAGTGAAGCACTTTAGTACAACATAGCAGGACAAAAAAACATTTATTTGATGGATAGAAGTTTTTCCTTTCCACTGTTGCCATTCTGCTTGCTCAGGATGGGCAATTGCGATGAAGTGAAGATTTAGAACTTCACTAATTTGCTTTTCTATTAATGTGAATGTTTCTGTCAAGTGCCCTGAGACAACTTTGTTGTGAATTGGCACTATATAAACTGAATTGAAATGAATTGAAGGATAGCATATATTATAAACAAACATTATTTGATAAAAGGACCACTTCATGCAAATGAGTCGAGCTATTCATAAATCATCCAAGTAGCAGAACTAATTTGAATTTAAACTGTCTTGTAATGTTTTCAATCCTCACAAATAGGCTAATGAACAGGTTCTTTTTGGCACTTACTTGGCTGTTGAGATGAGTTTCCTCAGCAGGGTAGCTGGACTCTCCCATAAGCCCCTTTTCCATAGCTCCTCTTCAGCACGATTCGACTGTACGGTTCCAAGACTTTTTCCACTAGCAGTTTTTCATGGAACCGGACCCTTTTTCTGTCCCTTCTTCTCTGGGGTACCAAGCATGCCGAACCGACACCCAAACTTGGCCAAAAATCCAATATCGTGCATCCCTAGTCAGAACACTGTTGGTCATTGATTGGTCAGGGGCCCGAGTCACTGGTTCTTTAAGAAACTTTTCAAAACACCCGATCCGTCATTTTTAATTACTCAAACTCGGAGCATTGGCTGCATTTTTATGTTTGGTGACCGACAACAAAATTCAGAGCGAGCTAGTCGCTGCTTAGGATAATAAGGGCTGCCGACTCGAAGAAGCGCATGAGGCCGCACCACGAGCCACGGCAGACGGGGGCGAACCGGGACAGGTCTGGGACAGAGGATAGAAACAATTTTTTAAAACGTATTAAAAAATAATATTTATTATTTAATTTTTTTTATCAGTGATGATGAAAAAAGATACAGTACAGGCATGAAATCTTGTTTTCACTTTAATGACTTTTTTAAATAATCTGTTAATTAAAGTTAACTCAGCTGAAAAATCATAAAAAGACATTTATTGGCTCTCTCAGGAATATTTCCCTCAAATATGTTTAAACAAGAGCTACGGCCTTTAATTCAACTTTATTCTAACCCACAGATGTACAAATCACAAAACAAGAATTTAACTTTAAAGCAAAGCTAAAATAAAATTAAAGCTGCAAGCAGCATTGGAGGCCCTCGCAGCAAAGCGCCGCTCCAGCCTTACGGCGACCGCGGGAGCTCCAGCTAGTCCACCCAGTCGCCATCGCGAATGCTTTCGTGCCAATCCCGCACGCGTTCACCACAGGGCGCATTTCTCAAATCTTCGACATCGCCTTCCGTCATGTCGTTACTTGTCCAGGTGCAGGCCTTACAAGTATAGGTGACATCTGACCTTCCAGACAGGAGTTATGGTGACTTCCTGTTTTGTTGTGAATGTTTGACAAGCACTTCCTTTATGCTTTTCAACATGTTGTTTGGTAATCAACAGTTAGCGAACAAAGTTTCAGTCTAATATCTTACACAGTGCGAAGCTGGAAGTGTCATCCAATAATTGGCTTTTTTTTTTCTTTAAGTAGGTGGGGCTTAAGTGATGTCATGAATCAACAATACCAATGTGTCTACAAGTGCTCACTGAAGAAGCACAAAAGCTCAGGTTCAGATTGGACGATGTATCACTAAGTTTTAACTGTTGGAATAATGTAGGGGGCGCACTTGAGTCAAAAGTTAAAAAACAATGCCAGTGTGTCTAGAAGTGCTCCCTGATCACGCACATAAAATCTGGTTCAGATCAGATGATGCATCACTGAGATATAACTTTTGGAATAATCTAGGGGGCACACTCAAGTCAAATGTTAAATAATAACACAAATGTATATAGAAGTGCTCACTGATCACGCACCAAAACTAATGCAGATAGGATAATATATCATTGAGATATAACAGTTTGAATAGTCTAGGGGGCGTACTTGAGTCAAATGTTAAACCACAATACCAATGTGTCTAGAAGTGCTCACGACGCCCCAAAAATCTGTTGCAGATAGGATTATGTATCATTGAGCTATAACTGTAGGAATAATGTAGGTGGCACTTTAAAGGCTATTGGCCACTTATCATGGATTCCTGTTCAAAGGGCGAATAATGATCGAGCATAGTGATTTTTGTGCACCTCTTCTGAAATCTGTGCAATTTAGAGCCAAACGTATTGCAATGGCGTCACTTCTTAATTCGCCATGCTCACATCCTCCAGCAAAAACAGTTTGCACTTTAAATCTAGTCAGACCATATGATCTGTCTTCTAACGCAGGATCATCCTGATTAAGTCAATGGTGTCAAAGAGGGAGCATTCCAAGTAAAAAAAAAAAAGAGACTTCCTGTTCCGAGGGGGCGGGGCTTTGATTACATCAAAATATGACAGTGGATCGTCGGGCATCCAACAGGGATGAGTCATGCCAAGTTTCGTGCATTTCGTTCTTTCAATGTGAAAGTTATAGTGTTTGTAAATTTATGGCGTCAAGCGAACCTTTGAGGCCTGGCCACGCCCCTTTAACATATATGAAAATGCAAGCTTTAGATAACTTTTACTCTCCAATGTCTAAAGGGCATATCAACCATGTTTGAAGGCAATCCTTCAAAATTCCTAGGAGGAGTTCGTTAAAATTTGCAATTAGAAACGCCTAAAAATGACAATTTGACCCAAAATGGTCGACTTCCTGTTGGTTTTGGACCAGGGCTCCAAGAGACTTTTTAGTAAGTAGTCTACTAATAATTGTTAAGTGTTAATCTTGTATTAAATTCTTGTTAAAGTCCTCTTGTGCACACTCCCGCAGCTGCCATTTGGTAGCCCGTCGACTTTTGGCACAACACAGGCCCACATTTCCGGGTTCGGCTCACATTTCCGGGTTGTCAGCGGTGATGCGAAAGAAACGCGACGCATCAGCGGTGACGCATAATACATGCACGGAATATGGCAAAGCGACATATTTATGGATTTTTCCACTTTATTAGACAAATATGGACTGATGCGACTTATAGGGTGGTGCGACGTGTGCTGCGGAAAATACAGTAATACACTGCTTGGCCAAAAAAAAGTTGCCACTGAAAAAAAAGGTCACACTAGTATTTTGTTGAACCACCTTTAGCTTTGATTATGGCATGCATTTGCTGTGGCATTGTTTGCAATGTCACAAGATCCATTTCTATCCAGTGATGCATTAATTTTTCACCAAGATCTTGCATTGATGACTAGGCACTAGGCATGATGGGTGCATCACTTCACCTGCCTCTCTTCTTACCCTGATGCTCCCATCACTCTGGAACAGGGTAAATCTGGACTCATCAGACCACATGACCTTCTTCCATTGCTCCAGAGTCCAATCTTTATGCTCCCTAGCAAACTGAAGCCTTTTTTTTCAGTTAGCCTCACTGATTAGTGGTTTTCTTAAGGCTACACAGCTGTTGAGTCCCAATTCCATGAGTTCCCTTCACATTGTGTGTGTGGAAATGTTCTTACTTTCACTATTAAACACAGCCCTGAGTGCTGCTGTTGTTTTTCTTTGATTTGATTTCACTAAACGTTTAAGTGATCGCTGATCACGATCATTCAGGATTTTTTTTCCAGGCACATTTCTTCCTTGAAGACGATGAGTCCCCACTATCCTTCCAGTTTTTAATAACGTGTTGGACAGTTCTTAACCCAGTTTTAGTAGTTTCTGTAATTTCCTTAGATGTTTTCTCTGCTTGATGCCAATGATTTAACCCTTCTCAAACAGACGGACATCTTTTCCACGACCACGCCATGTGTCTTTCGACATGGTTGTTTAAGAAATGAGAAGCAACTCATTGCACCAGTGGGGGTTAAATAACTTGTTGCCAGTTGAAAGATAATCCATGCAGTAATTAGCCAATGGGAGGTTTGTACCCATTTGCTTAGTTAAATCCAGGTAGCGACTTTTTTTTTGGCCAGGCAGTGTACAAATACACGAAAAAGAACATTAAAGTAAATAACCCATTTAATTCCTCTTTTTAAAACGTTTTTTTTTTTTTTAAATAACATGTTGAACCTCCATTTCAGTTTCAAGTCTGTGGTATTGCAAAACTCTTGTTTTTTTCTAAAATACAAAAACAGAAGAGAGAAATGAAAAATTACATTAACTTGAAATAGAAAACAAATTAAAGCAAAAACAGTAAACACTGCCTTTTATACTGTATATTCAACTTGAAAGTCTGAGGTATGCTGCTCAAGGTGCTCAAGGTTTTTTATTCGTATTGTTTGCACCGCTCAAGGTGGCTGCATGTTGGAGCAGCTCTGTTACTTTCATTTTGAGATTTTGCTTTTGGAAACATTAATTCCTCTTTTTCTGGATGTAAATCACATTTTTTGGATGATTGTTTCCTCTGGTATCAGATGCTGTGCAGCTGGAAGGATTTTTACTGAAACTTTTTTAGTTTTGGACATTTGTTATGATGCGTAACCATGGCAACAAGGCAGTTTTCTACAACCAAAAGCTGATTAACATCTCAAAAGCTCAAATAATATCTCAACTACAGCACCAAATCTCAAGTGAGTTGAAAGGATGTTCTGTGGATGCATTCTCATCTACCTGCCAGCTGTGCTCGAGTGCCTGACCACTGAGATCCTGGAACTAGCAGGAAACACGGCTCATGACAGTGGAAGGACAGGATCGTCCCTCAGCACCTACAGCTGGCTGTCCGCAATGACAAGGAGCTCAGCAGTCTGCTGGGAGGAGTGGCCATCGCTCTGGGAGGAGTTCTGCCCTGCATTCGGGCGGTCCTACAGAGAGGAACCAAGAGGCCAGCCCAGTCTGGGTGGACGGATCGGACGGCATCTGCAGCCAGTTTCTTAGGATCCACTGTGGGATGGACCTTTACAAGAGATCCTTCCTGCCTTCAGCCATCAGCATCTATAACATCTCTTAATGAAATGAGGATAACGAGTTTCAACAACAAATAATTTCCCTCTGGGATTAATAAAGTATTTTTGAATTGAATGACAAAATCTACTTGTACGTTTTCAAGGATCAAGGTTTCTATTCTCATTTACATCATATCTGGTACATGTGGTCGAACGAAATTATGTACACAGGGTCAGTTACATCCAACAAAAGTATAAATTGTAAGGAAAACCATAATAAGATCTAAGATATGAACTAAGAAATACACTAAACTAAAGCCCTATTCGCACAAGATTAGTTTTACCTAAGGACCATGTGAAATAAATAAATTATTCCCCAATGTTTGCTTTTTATATGGCGCATTCGCACGGGATACCCAAAGCCTGAGATTTAGATGAAATTTAGGTTTAGTTTAGTTGAAATGGATTTGCGACCTGTCCAGGTTGTCTCCTGCCTCTCGCACAGTGATGGCTGGACATGGGCACCAGCGGCAGCATGAGCAGAGTGAACAGGAGGGGCCTCAACACACAGCCCTTGGGGGAACCAGTGCTGAGGGTTATGGTAGAGGAGGAAAAGTTCTAGACCACAGGGGTCCACAGACTGCAGTTACAGACTGGTGCAGCCTGTTTGTTAAGAAGTCCAGGACCCAGTTTCATATGGAGGGGCTTAGTCCTAGTGTGAGTAGTTTGTCCATAAGGGTCTGGGGAATCATGGTGTTGAAGGCAGACGTGAAGTCCACAAAGAGCATATGGACGTAGGAGTCCTGCTCCAGATGGGTGCGAGCAGTGCGAGCCACAGAGAAGATGGTGTGCTCTGTTGATCTATTCTCGCAATATGCGTACTGGTGAGGTTCCTCGCTGATGTTCTGAGAATCAGAATAAGCTTTTATTATCATTGTACCGAGATACAGCTAGAATATGTCCATGCAGTCATCCGAAAGATAGGCGGAGTGCACGTAGCTGCTCTTTGAGAGCGCGGCCTCTTATCATTTTCAGAATACATTTTTTAGATCAAAAAAGGGACAAAGCCATGAGGAGAGGATAGTGGCATTACAAAAAAATCTCTTCACACCATGTCGTAACAGGACACAATTTAAGACATCAAAAAAAACCTCTGCCAGCAAGCACATTTATGAACACGTACATGCATTTACAAATGAAGCGGTCCATGAAGCCCTAGAGAGTCCATAGTCCTGATGAGATGAAATGATGGTCAGCCTGCACAGTTCTGATAAGCCTCCACAGAAGGGTGGTGGTGGGGTGATGGACAAAGCTTTTCCTTAGTTTACACATTTCCCAGGAGAAATTGATAAGTCGGCCAACCGGGGAGTCAGATTCAGATAAAACCACAATGGTTATTTATTCAGGCAGACAATTTTTCCTTGTCAGCCTTTGAGTCTGTACTGATACTTCCAAGGTCCGAAATGGCCAGATTAGGGTGCATTCTACTGGTCTGTGCTTACAAGCCTCTTCAAGGTTGTTTTCATGCTGACAAGTCCCAAAGCTGCAGGTGGCCTGCGATTCAAATCACTTCCAACTTACGGTTTCGCTCATAAATCAGCTAATTTTGAGTCCTCAAAGCACGAACCAAACCTTCACATAGGTAGCAGCCAGACGAGGTCCAAATTGGCTGCGGCCGTCTTCTTTGTATGTTTATACACCAGGATCCAAACTATTCCAAAAACGGGAAACCTGTTATCATAACTCCAATTATATGCAATTTCGGCGTCCTCGATCGACAGCAGAGGTAGATGCATCACCCCCAGAGATATATACAGCTGCATGCGTGTCATCCGAGCAGACGAGGGTACTCCAGGACCCTGTTGCTTTGTTGAAAAGATTTTGTCATTTGCGTCGAAAGTCCAGTTGGTCAGATCCAAAACAGTAGTTTTCATTTCGGAAGATGTGTAAAAAAAAATAGGAGCTGCAGACGGAGAGCAAAAAAGCAAGAAGAGAACAGGGAGCAAGAAGAAAAGTGTGCGCCTCGTTACAGAGCCAGTGAGAGAGAGAAAAAAAGTACTCCTGTAAAAATGTAATGTTTTATTCCTCCTGTTGGTTTTCTGAATTGTCTAATCTTCTTCCACTCAGGTTTCTTTAATTATTTCTTTCTGTCCGTGTCTTCCAGGGAGGATCATGTTGAAAGGAGACAACATTACTCTGCTGCAAAGTGTGTCCAACTAGAGACAGTAGAGATGTCCACAAGCCTACTTTTTCCTATAAACATGTTTTTTTTTTCTTTCTATTTTTAAGTTGACCATGCTTATGTTTAAATGCTTTTTTTCTCTCTGCAACATGGCCCAATTTTGAGAATAAAGTGTTTTTTCTTAAAGTTGATAGTGTTGTTTCCAAAATGTTTGTTGGTCATTGGGCTGCACTGCCATCTCATTGCAGACAGCATTAATGGTCATTTAGGGGCAGTCGTCCTCCAATACGAGAGTTGGGGGTTCGATTCCACCAGAAGTCACATGCCGAAGTGTCCCTGGGCAAGACATTGAACCCCTAAATGCCTCTGATGAGTGTCCCATTGGTGTATGCATGTGATAAAGCACTGATTATTCTTTGTATAGATATAGAGTGCTGTATGAATGGGTAAATGAGGACACAAATCATTTTGAGTATCTTGATCAGATAGAAAAGCGCTATATAAGTGCAGTCCATTTACAATTTACATTGGGGCAAAAAAAGTATTTAGTCAGCCACTGATTGTGCAATTTCTCCTACTTAGAAAGATGAGAGGTCTGTAATTTTCATCAGAGGTAAACTTCAACCATGAGAGACAAAATTAGGAAAAATAATCTAGGAAATCACACTGTAGGATTTTAAAATAATTTTTTTGTAAATTTTGGTGGAGAATATTTGGTCAGTAACAAACGAGCAAGATTTCTGGCTCTCATGGACCTGTAACTTCGTCTTTAAGAAGCTCTTCTGTCGTCCACTCATTACCTGTATGAATGGACCAGTTTGACCTTGTTATCTGTATAAAAGACACCTGTCCAAAGCCTCAAAACAGTCCGACTCCAAACTCAACCATGGTCAAGACCAAAGAGCTCTCGAAAGGCAGCAGGAAGAAAATTGTAGACCTGCACCATGCTGGGATGAGTGAATCTACAATAGGCAGCAGGTTGGTGTGAATAAATGAACTGGGAGCAATTGTAAGAAAATGGAAGACCTACAAGACCATTGATTATCTCGATCTGGGGCCCCACGCAAGATCTCAACCCCTGGGGTCAACATGATCATGAGGACGGTGCGCAAAAATCCCAGAACTACACGGAGGGACCTGATGAATGACCTGCAAAGAGCTGGGACAAAAGTAATAAAGGCTACTAGGCAGAGAGGTACTCGAATCCTGCAGTGCCAGGCATATCTCCCTGCTTAAGCAAGTACATGTCCAGGTCCATCGGAAGTTTGCCAGAGAGCATATGGATGATCCAGAAGAGGATTCGAAGAATTTCATGGTCAGATGAAAGCAAAATAAAACTTTTTGGTAAAAAAGTCAACTTGTCGTGTTTGGAGGAAGAATAATGCTGAGTTGCATCCCAAGAACACCATACCTACTATGAAGCATGGGGGTGGGATCGTTAGTTACGTACTGTAACCCCAGATTCTATGAATATAGGTGTAGCCCTTTAAGGCTGTCGCTTAGTGGGTTTATCCCGTCATGTGAAGCATTACACTGAAAAATTTAGTCCACGCCCACCTGCTGTGTGGGCCCCACCCAGTCCGTATAAATTACGTTAAGAGCGTGTAATCGGCTCCCAAATAGCTTTTTCTTCAGCCACTTGGAAACCAGTGAGGCCCGATGCTTAAAGGGCTACACCTATATTCATAGAATCAGGGGTTACAGTACGTAACCAATGTTCTATTTCATATAGGCTTTGCCCTTTAAGAGCTGTCGCTTAGTGGGTTAAGGGCGAAGTGGATGTTGTCCTCGCCTCACTGGGTCCATTCGAACACCGTATGAAGCGGAAGCTTGCCCAAAAAAACGTCTTGTCACTCGGCTCCCATGCTCTCCACCTGTTTACCATATGGATGTAAGACCTCAGGCTTAGTTCACTACATGCATAATTATGTGTGCCATGCACAGACGCATGTTGTGTATGCGTTCTGAGTGGGGGGGGGGGACCCCCTTCAACGATATCACACTTGATTTAAAGAACTTGTGATGTTTTAGGCATAAAGCTGGATTTGGTCTTAGATCAACGGAGCTGCCATCAGTCTGAGTTCTAAGACATGACGGAGCGACAGAGAGGGCAGATAAATCACTCACTCTCTTAGCGGATGTTAAAGCCAGCAGCAGGGCTGTTTTAAGAGACAAGGATTTAATTGGAACCTGATTCAGTGGCTCAGATGGAGCTTAGATCAGGGCTCGCAGGACCAGCATTAAATCCCACTGTGGAGCAAGTGGGCGTGAAACAGGCCTGCGTCTCTGTATACCTTAAAAAAAAAACGCTTCATCAGCGGATGATTAAAAGCTGTTCTGTCCCCAAAACCTTCGTGACAGAAAGAGATGGCTGCAGCGTACGTTTTAATCGTGCTGAACGCCAAATTTCTGTCCATCAGCTGCTGCAGAAAGGACAGCACGCCGCCTAGTGGACATGAGGTGGCCTCTACACCCTTCTCTGTACACCAGCGCTGAAATGCTGTCCACTTTGATGTGTACAGCGCTGTGGTGAATGCCACACGTGAATCCTGGATTGTGCACACTATATCTTGCGGTAGACCCATCCTCTCTAAGCGGATCCGTTCAGCGGTCAGACCCACGGGTGCTGGCCTATTTCTGGGTAACTCCTGATCGCTCCTCCCGCCTGGAGGAGAGCATCTTCCCTCCATGGCAGTTTCCACGGGCACCCCGATAACAGGCGTTGTAGAACCGGAACCATGGTGCGTTCACGTGCTCAGGAGGCACCAGGAGAGCTGTCAATCCCTCCTCCTGAACTCGGTTCAGAAACCGTAATATCAGAGGAGGTGGGGGGAACGCATAAAGGAGCGTTTTGGGCCATGGGCTGTGAGCAAATACGTCCACCCCCAGCGGTGGTTCGTCTCGCGGGCTCAGTGAAGCCCATAGTTGACACTGAGCGTTTTCTCGTGTCGCAAAGAGGGCCACGGCCGCTTGCCAGATTTCTGCCACGTCTGGGCCATCAGACCGAAGTGGAGGGTCCACTCCCCGTGACGCGGACAGCCCCTGGACATCACATCTGCCCCTTGTTCAGAACACCAGGGATGTACACTGCTCTGATGGAGAGCAGATTTTGGTGAGCCCAACACAGTAGTTTTCTCGCAATGTGTAACATTTGGGCTGAGTGCACACGCCCCTGCCGGTTTATGTAAGCAGCAGTAACCTTGTTGTCTGTGTGAATCAAAACATGTTGAAGAAAAATGTTGAATCACATTCAAAAGCGTGCGACATTCCAGAACGTTTACATGAGCTGTTGTGAGAAAGGCCACAGCACCCCTACAGTTCGAGATAGGCATGTCACCCCCCAACCTGACACCGACACGTCTGTTAAGACTGACACGTGTGACTTAGGTCTGCTGACGGGGACTCCCTCCAACAGAACCAGGGGGTTTCCCAGTGTCGGAGATCTGTTCTCACGGAGGAAGGAACAGTGATCGTCCGTCTCTTTTTGCCTCACCAGATCCATGCGCGGACGAGCAAACCATCTCTGGAGGCGTCTCATGAGTAGTAAACCCAGCGGGGCCACTGTCTGAGCTGACTACATCGTTCTTAACAGCTTTATGATGGAAAATAGCTGTTACTACTCTGCCCAGTCTTATGTGGCGGAGCTGGACTCTTAGAGTGTCGATTCTTGTCTGTGATAAACGAATAAACGAGCCCTCATGGTGGTCGAGTTTAGCCCCACTCCCAGATAACAATCATCTGGGCCGGGAAAATCGAACTTTTCCAATTTTATGGCGAAGCTCAGAATTAGCAGGTTTGACGTCAACACCTGAGCCTGTGCTGACATGTGAAGCGGTCTGCCCACAATCGCCTTGTTGAAAACTTGACGGGTCCAAATCGGTCTCCTTCCTCCGGTTTGTTTGGAACCAGGAAGTAACGTGAGTAAAAACCTGTGTTTTCCTCTCCGTCGGGAACCCCTGGACTTCTGCCTTAAGGGATGAGACCTGGTCTAGATGACAGGACCGTCTCTAAAAACTCGTCCGAACGGAGGGGGTCGGGCTGCAAGTTGCAACGTGTAACCCCTGCTAACAGCTTGGCCATCCATGTCTGGCGAGCAAGCCCGCAGCCACTCCGCGTAACGTTTGTGGAGTGGGCGCGCTTTGCAGCTTGGGCTGAAAACGAGTTATTCCACTGAACTCGTGCGGACCACATTCGCTTATGACTTGCGTCATGCGGGCGTCTCGCCTTGTTTTGGAGCAACGGTGATTGAAAAAACCTTTTTAAAGGCCACCGGCTCATTCGTGTGGAGAATGTGTGAAGGAGCTGCTGTCAGGTCATCCGAGCTGACAGACTGGCTAAAATAGACACTTTCATCATTAAATGATGTTTTATTCCAAAAGCTCGTGTCATCTTCACACACATCCTCCGCAAACCATCATTTTGAGTCATCTCCCTCTGAGCTCTGCGGTTTGTTGTCCTAGAGCGCCAACTGTTGGCGATCTCCGGGAAAGGTTGAACTTCTGGATGCCGGGGACTCTCTTTTCTTTTCTTTTATCTGACGGGCGGGGCTGGCGTAGCGTAGCGGAGAGACTTCCAGCCGTGGAGCGTCTTGAAAATGATCCCTCGTTGATGAGGGCCCTCCAACAAAAAGGCTTTCTGCAGCTCTTCCGAGAGGAAGGTGGAGTGACGGGCCAGGTGGACCTCTGGAAAACCTCGTCCTCCGGCTGCGATGCGAGACCGGCAGACAACAAAGAGGCGCACCAGTTGAGGATGACGTCAGCTGCCTTGCAGAGGGAGCACTACGTCTCCTCCAGCCTCTTGAACGTTGTACACCAGCAGCGTAACGTGTTGTTCGCTGCGGCCGCCTGGAACGCACACTGGTGAGCTCGGTTGGAGAGCGACGTCACCGTCTGGTTATGCTTACCCGGAGGCGCAGGACGCTGGTCCAACCTGGACATCTTTGCTCCGAAAACCTCCGCCAGGCTCGGCTCCAGGGGGGCACTGAGGGAATTTCCGCTCTGTGAAACCCCTCCACTCTGGTGATGGGCGCGGATGTGGGAACCGGCGCCCTATTCTACCAGGAACCGGCTGCGGCCTCGTCCCAGTAGGACGTCACTGCTGGGAAAACGAGGCCAGATGGGATCAGGACGGCGAGCCGGAGTGGAGCCCAGAAACCTTCCCGCTAGATCATCCGATTTGGGCGGGGAAAGGAGAGGGACGGAAAAAGTCCCTTCATGTCAGCCGCCTCATGGATTATGCCGGGCGGCTCCAGAGGAGGGCACCAGCGGCTGGGAGCGGTGTGGTCGCCGATGCGAAACAAGGTGTGGGGGGGGTGAGCATTTGCTCAGCCCCCCTCTACCGACACTACGCTCTCCATGAGGGAATGAGCAGCGGGAGGCTGCTGCTGACGTCACCTGTCCCGGGGGAAACATCCAATTCGCTCCGAGAGTCGGCGATAAGTGGAAAATTACAAGATGGCGTCGTCCAGCGTGTAGCGACCTGCCACTGAGAATACTCCTCGGCGCTTACCTTGAAACAAGACTGCTCGTCTGCTTCTCCTCGGGGAGGATAACTCACCGGGACGACAGGAGGTTGACGTGGCGGGGCCACAGGCAGTCTTAACAAAGGTTGGTCAGCTAGACAACTTTCCTTCTTCGTTCTTATGACAGTGCTATTAGCTTGCTGAAGAAAAATGGGAGCCGATTACCCACTCTTAACGTAATTTATACGGACTGGGTGGGGCCCACACAGCAGGTGGGCGTGGACTAAATTTTTCAGTGCAATGCTTCGCATGACGGGATAAAACCCACCAACGACAGCCTTAAAGGGCGAATCATATGAAATAGAACTTAACAACTCACTACTAAATAATACAGAACTTACTTTGTACATTATGTATTCAAAAACTAATCACACAGTATTGGACAATTGCTCAAAATAAGAACCAGATTGGGAAATATTGGGAACTACTCAAATATGAAATCAGAAAATATGTGATCCAATTTAGTAAAAGTTTAAAACGTAAAAAAAGAAAAAAGTTAGAGCAATTAATTAGATCCATCTCAAACATTACTGCCATTACTTCAGATGATGAAGTTCTTGTAACACAACTATAAAATTATCAAGAAGAATTAAATGAGATATATAAAGAAAAAGCACGTTGTGCTTTCTTTCGATCTAGATTAAAATGGATTGAGGAAGGTGAAAGAAACAGTAAATACTTTTTTAATATGGAAAAAAGAAACAGCATGGAAATCACTAAATATAAATGATAATGTAACTGAGGATTACTCTGTAATCTCAAAATATGTCAGATTTTTATAGAGATCTGTATAAAAATGATGACTGTATGGATTATTAAACTCATTAGTAGAGGTAAACAAAGTGAATGACTAAAAGAGGAATGTGATGATGCACTTTGTATTGAAGAAATAAAATGGGGCATCAGAAACATAAAATCTAACAAGTCTCCTGCCAGCGACGGCTCGACCTCAGAATTCTATCACAGATTCTCGTCTGAAATTTCTGAATTTCTTCTGGCAGTTTACAGTGAATCTATTAAAAACGAAGAATCACAGACATCGATGAAACAGGGTCTCATCACTCTGATTCCCAAATCAAATAAAGACCAGTTAATAATAGATAATTGGCGTGGTATCACTTTA